AATAATAGCTCTCATAGAGTTAGCAATCAGGATTAGATGAGAAAATATATGTGGAGCCTTTGGCACAGAGCCTGGCCCCTCAGATGACGAATGTCATAACTGCTGTTTACTGGAATGGGAATATCACATGGTAGTCCTTTCTAAACATTCCTCTCTTCTACAAATCCCCTGACAGTCCAGTCTGGCAAGAATGATGCACTTAACAAAGAAAAATCCGAGTTCATATGGAAAGAAAGTAACCAGAAAAACTGCTAACGGATAGATGGTCAACACTTTTCCAAACCCAAGAGACATATAATTGTTTTTGCTCCCCAACCTCCTTCCTCCAAAGCTTTCAGCTTTATTCTTCCTCAGAGGTCAAGGATCTTTCTGGAGCCAAAATATCAAGTCCTTGAGGGCTGCAGCTGAGAGATGCTACTTCAGCTTCAGTATTTCATGTATAAGAGAGAGGCCCACTTACGTTCCCAGCAGGAGGACAAGGGGAGCCTGCCAAGCTCTGGTTCCCATCAAGTTGAACAGTGTGGGCTGAGCTCAGGCAGGGTCAAGGCCCAGGCCTAGAGCCCTTCCTCCAGCCGCAAGTATGTAAGAGGACTGCCAGGAAATTAAAGACTTGTATGAAGGCACATCATTTAGGAAGATCTCTAAACAGGCCCCCAAAGCAACAACGCTGCAAACATATTCATATATGAACCTATTTTTGCTGTTGTTTAGTGAATAACATATGGTTCATTTTACCAAGTTGTGAATTTGCAAAACTTCTCCTATACCCTCTGCTTGGGCCTCTCTCTTGGGGCCTCTCTCCTGATTCACTAATGTGGCAGAAACTACAGGAAGAACAAAGAAACCTCATCCCGGTGTGAATTGTGGAACATTTTATTGAACACAAATGAACAGAAGTTAGGTTTCCCTTGTAGATTAAGAAGGACCCTAGGCGCCAGCGAGGAAGTGAAAGGAGTTTCAGAGGAAATGTTTGGGGCGGAGGAGGCAGAAGTTCAAAGGGAAATCATTTAGAGGACAAGATGAATAGCCCCTTCTGCCTCAGACAGTTAAAGAAATGAAGTCCCCAGAGGTAGGGGGAGCAGAGAAAAGGTCAAGAAGCCTCTGATGTGCTCTTGTCAAATCCAGTGTCTATCTGCAGCATCCTCAGATGAGCTGGGAGAGAAGGCAGTGGGATTCAGTGGAAGGAGTCTGGGCTTTGGACAAAGAGCTGAACTCATTAGCTAGCCAGTCAATTATATGCTGCTACCTAGCCATGTGGCTTTGGATTGCTTAACTGTCCTACGTCTCAGTTCCCTCTGCCTTAAAATATGAATTATAATGCCCGCAATATAGTGTGAGGAGACAGACCATAGGACTGCTGTTGTTTTAGAGTCCATCAAGTCAACTACAACTCACAGCGACCCTGTGAACAACAGATCTGAGCGTTGCTCTGTCCCATGCCATCTTCACAAGTTCTGACATGACAGAGTCTGTTGTTACAGTCACCTTGTCAATCCGTCTTGTTGAGGATTCCTCTCTTTCTCTGTCTCTATACATTCCCCAGCATAAGATCTTTTTTTCCAAGCACTGGCCCTTCTTGATAACATGCCCCAAGTATGTGAGACGACATTTCACCATACTTGACTCTTGGGAGCATTCTGCTTATACTACCTCCCAGACAGATTTGTTTGTTCTTTTGGCAAAGAAGACTGGGGCAAATTGTGATTCTGCATCTCCTTTTCCTGCTCAAGCACCAGAAACAACTTCTTTCTATACTTAAGCCTTGCCCAGGCTGAAAGCTTTTGCATGCTGTCTAAACGAGTGAGGGCAAAGGATTGCAGATAGGGAGCAAGCCTTTTCCAAATATGCTGCGCACCAGAGAGGCAATTTCACTGTGTCTCCTGCAAGGATCAAATGCTGACGTCCCTGTAGTTTTCTTTTCCTTGAGAAGAGCAAGGCCTGCAGATAAGCGATTTGGAGAGGGTTGCCCCCTAGTTGGATGGTGGTTGTGAGGCAAGCCCCTGGGGCAGCATCCTCTTCCCAAAGAGCTGTCACTCTCCCCTGGTTTTCCAGTTTCCACTTCCCCTGGTTTGCCCTCCAATGGGCACCTCCATTACCCTAAAGGAAAGCACAGCTAGGAAGTGGTCTGTAGCTTTCCAGGAGTTTTTAGAAATGAACAAAAGCAACCTAAATTGTTCAAGTCAATTTAGAAATCATTTTTACTAGTTGACCTTGAAAAAATTAAGTCATAATCATCTGGACCCCACAGGTTAAAAACTGGTCAAATAAATAGCAATTGATCTAAAAGCTGATCAATAGTCATATCTACCCCACACCACCTCCATATTATCTTGCCTACTCTTATTGCTCCCCTGATACATAAAACACTACAAACATACACCAATGCATGAATTTCTGCACCTACCCTCTTACATAAATGCCTATGTATGCACAAGAGTCCATTGGAGTGTGTCTTGATACTTACTGTCCAACATTTCCTAATTTCTTCCTTAAAGCACTAAAATAAATATATGTAGGAAGTTTATATACAGAAGATGATGCTTTACCAATTGTGACCTACCACAGCCCATGACTTCCCTTTGATGACAAGATACATTTATTCTTCACTTATAAAAACTGATCAGAAATCATTAGAAGTCTTACACAATATAAGAAAAAAATATCCAGCTTCAGTATACAAATCGGTAAGTAATAAAACCATTAAAAATATTGGGGGGATGGGAAACAGGAGAATACTTAGATAATTTTAGAACTGGAGGCTTAAAGCAAAAACAAAAAAAATCTAAATGCCATAAAAGGGGGGGGGAAGGAGAAATCTTATGAAAAGTGTAAAAGATCCTATAACCAGATATCGTTTATGAAATATAAAAGGTATTATAAACAAAGGTTACAATAAAGTTACTGAGGGGGAGAAAACAGTCCCAGTGCATATTTAAAAAACCCCAAACAAACCTTTGCCTTTCCAAATTGTTAAGAAGACTAAAAATAGAAATAGAAAAAAGATCAAGATCACGAACTGACAAGGAATAGAAAAGTCACCATGATAAAACACTAATCCTACAAAATATTTTTAAAAAAGATGCTTTATCTCAAATGGTTGTCAGGGAAATGAAAATTAACAATTTTTCACTCATTAAAAATTCAGAGATTGGTAATACAGCTCTGTTGTAGGGGAAACAGGTTTTGCTGAATAATGCTAACAAGCACAACCCTTCAAGGAAGTAATATAACAATGTTCATTCATTAAATTCAAAATGTACATATACTTTGAGCCAAGAATTACATGTCTGGAGGTTATAAAATCAATTAAATTATCAGTCGATTAGAAATATTGCCTACGATGTTTATTAACATTATTTTTGGTAGTGAAAAACTAAACCCAACAAAAATATCATTCAGAAGACAACATATGAAAGAAATTATGCAACACCCATAGAATGGAACATTGAACCTTTGCTTTCCATTAGAAAAAGTTTCCTCATCTATAAAATCAAGAAAATAATAATACTTAACAACATATATATGTGTTAATATAGAAGAATATAGCATATATTGCTAATTTTTTAAAAAAAGCTGTTTGAAGAATAAACTGCATTCCATGGTCTTACTTTCCGATCTCAAAGAATTTACATAAAGCCATACTTACTTTTGTCTGACTAAGCAAAGGAAAAACCAACCTAAGGAGGAGTCACACTTTAAATTGTGAATTTATCTACTGCACTTTAAATTATGTCACTAAAAAAAGAAAGAAAAGAAAAATCCCCTAAAAGTGACTAAAAATATCAACAGATAATTCACTGAACAACAAATATCAATGACAAGCATACAGCAAGAAATTGAGTTTTTAAAAAAACTACTAGAAGTCAAAAAGACTACTAACGGGAGAAGGCTTTTAATTAAAAGCTTTCCTCTCAATATTCTGTGCCACTCAGACTGGCTAAGAAGGGGCTGCCACAGATTCCTACTGTCAGACAAGACACAATATATGATTGAGTATTTACATGTATGTCTAGGTAAGGTTTCCATTGTTACTGAATTTTGGGGGAAAGATTTGCTGTGAGGAAAGGAAAATGTGGATGAAGAAATAACTTCGGTATTAGAAGAACTTAAGTTCTAAACCTTTTCACTTCTTAGAGATGGGGCGAAGGTATTCTTGTGAACTAGTCTCTTTGAGAAGTTAAGTTAGCAAAAGGATGAAACGAAGTCAAATAAATGCCAGGCCTTGCTAGTGAGCTTCTGCCCTTGCAGCCCTGCCAAAGGCCCATCCTGTGACTTCCTCCTCATCTTCCTTCTCCCTTCACCCTCATACCTGGGTATGCAGCCTTCTCCCCTGGCCTTTAGTCCCCTCCTCTGTCTTAATTCAACCTGTTTGTAACTCCCTCTTTACATGAAATTGATTCCTTCTACCTTTAAGTGATGTTGCATAAAATGTAAAGGCACAACCTCAGCACACGACACATACACACACAACTTTCTCATATTGGCTTGTTCTGAATCAGAATCATATCAACGACACACAGTGAAGCAATGTTGCCCTTTCATTGCCACAGATCTTTCAAAATAAGAATCCAGGCATCATATTTGATCTAAAATATAAAGATAGCAACAGCGAGGAAACACGAAACCAGAATGGTGAGAGAATAGTCATGATCACTAGTTTATCTCATTTTAAAGCCACATTTTAAACAATTGACCCTTTAAAATACCTTAAACAGACAGAGAAGGGCAAAGTAATTTGTCTCTTTGCAAAGGATGTGTCTCCTGAGCAGAGGGGAGTGGGGGAGTTGAGAGCAGGAGTATGTCTGTCTGGCAGTTAAGAGTTCTGGCTGTTCCAACAAGTCAAATGGGAATTCCCTTAGAACTTTTCAGACAGCAAGATGACACTTCCTATTTAAAAATAGCTACGTGACATTGTTCCATAATATCCTTTAGGTTTTTTAAAAGTTGCCTTCATGCCCAGTGGGCTTGATCTGGCTGAAGTCCCTCAAGGGTTCTCCCATCTATGTTCTCTTGACACTGTTAAGGAGGTCTGTGAGTTCTCCAATGTACTTGATAGTGTACTTCAGTGTCTGTATCTTGGTAAGCGGCTGCCCTCTTTGGCTGTAGACAGGAGGCAGGTAATTCCGGAGGGTGTGCAGAGCATCTGCCAAGGTCCTCATCCTCAGCTTCTCCCTCTCGCTGGCCTTCCTTCTCCGCTGGACAGACATCCTGACTTTGGTGCCCTTTTGCGCCTTGGGGACACCAACGCTCTGCAGGTAGGCAGGCTGGAAATCCAATATGTTGTAGTCCACCTCAACCAGGCTTCTGGTCTCACGACTGTTGCAGACATCACTGCTCCCACTGCTGATGCCATCATGCCCACAGGGCAATCCAGTCACTGCTGGACAGGGAGAAGAAGAATAGGATTCCAGGGATGGAGCTGGAGAAAGGCTCTGAGTTGGGGAGCCCTGATTCAGCTCGATGGACCCTGCCCTATTTTTCCAGTCCCAGGAGGACAGAAGGACAGGGTTGTCAGAAGAGCCCAGGCCATCTTCCAAGCTGAGAAAGGTCTCCTGCAGGTTCTCCATGCCTGTGAGACAGCTGCAGAGAGAATAACTCCCTGGCAAGTGAGAAGGAAAGTTCTGCCTCCTGGTCAGGGAAGAGCTCTCTTTTATGATGGTGGGGGAGAAGTGATGAAGTGGGAAAGAGGGCCAGGGAAGAAGGAGTTCAAAGAGGAAACCAAGGGCCACGATGGAAGATGAACTCCTCAGGTGTCACTTTCTCCTCATTGATAATTAGCATCTTCCAGCTAAAATGTCTTTAAACAGAAAGGCCTCCAGGAGAAGAAAAAAGGAATTATCTTGTTGTAACTAAACCAATTAAGGCTGCATAACTAGACTTAGCATTGTCCTGTGGAACTCATTAATGAGGGAGCCAAAGAAAACAAACCTGGGACAATCTGTGCCTAGGAGGTGGTGGCTGAGTGGCCTGGGGGACAGCAGCAGAGGCACCTCAAGGGCTGTGCTCATCCTCCCCCAGGAACTTATGGATACTAGAGAGCAGATGGGGCATGTTATTGCAGAAGCACATGGTTGCGGGATAAGGTAACCCTTCTGAGTTTTGATTCCTGAATATCTCAAATAGAGGCAACAATAGTTCATTTCACGAAGCTGTTGAAAGGATAGTATAAAGGCCCTCAGTGATTGCAAGTTGTCTCCTTCCCTTCTCCTTCAGCAAGTTCCTCTTGGGTTTGATGTGCAGACATTTCCCCACACGCCTGCATTCGAATGACAAAGGCCAGCGGCTCCTGTAAACACATAGCTGTAAAGCGCAGGAAATGTCCTTCAAGGAGCATAAAGCCTTTGCTTGAATTGAGCAGGCTTGGATTCCCCTGCTGCAAACAGACACCAGGAAACAGAAAATTCTTCTAAGCCAGAGAGTGTTGAGTTTGCAAGAATACCTGGCATTTAGTTAGGCTTCTGGAGGTTTCTTTTAAAATCAAGCTGCCAGAGTCACACCTTACTTTTTGAAATGTATAGAGGAAGTGTGAAATTAACCAGGGAGCCTGTTTCTCCCCCCTCCTCCAAGCTCCAAATGCCTTTGAATGTGTTAAGTCTTATGGTCCTGCTAGTTTACTTCACTTCTTATATGCACAGAGAGATAGACCCTGTATTTTGAAAAAGGGGTCTCCATTTGTCCCGTGAATTTAGTTATTCTATAACTAATTACACAAATTAATATTAACATTCGAGTTACAGTTACATCCTGTGCCCATTAAAATGACTATTTTAAATCCTTTTGCAGTTGATGAAATGGAATGTCAATAGCCTAAGTAGAACATTAATGTTATTTTTCTTAATTAGCATAATCTCAGGACAGAAAAGGCTCATGCCAGTAATCTGTAGCAGAATGCTCTTTGTTTTACTATTTTCTAGAGGACTCTAAGTCACCTCCTGAAGGATAATAGTATTATTGTAGTGCAATAATAATAAATAATTCCTTTGTCTTCTTTTCCCACTCCTCTCTCTTTTCCATCAGCTCAATTTATTTACAGTCTTACAAGCTGCACTGATACTGTGCAAGGCACTATATACACATTGTAACTAGCCTTCATTTTAAAAATAAAATTTTACAGATGAAAATAATGAGACTCTAAGAGGCCATTGTGGCCATTATTGTAGAATAAGTATAACCATCCAAGAGGGGTGAGAAAGGGTGGAAGCAGGGGATGAGGAGGTGTGGGAAGGGGGATGGGGGGAGATGTTTAATCATGGGGTTGTACAATTTGATAGGGGGTGGGGAAAATTGAAAGAATTTGTTCTTGAAAACAATGTATTCAAATTTTATAAGTAAACTAGTTGTTGTTGTTATGTGCCGTCAAGTTGCCTGCGACTCATAGAGACCCTATGTACAACAGCCCTAAACTCTGCTCTATCGTGTGCCAATGGCACTGTCTCTGACACACCCATCCCAATTTACCCCAGTCACTGAATCAATCAACCTCATAGAGGGTCTTCCCCTCCTGCGCTATCCCTCCACCCTCCCAAGCATGATGTCCCTCTCCAAGGACTGGGACTGCCTTACAACATGTCCAAAATACGTCAGATGAATCCTCAGAATCCTTGCCTCCAAGAAGCAGCCCAATTTAATTCTCTCAAGGTTGAATCTGTTTATTTTCTTAGTAGTCCATGGTACCCTCAATACTCTCTCCAACACCACAACTCAAAGACATCAATTCTCCTTCTGTCCTCCCTAGTCATTGTCCAACTCTCTGACGCATAACAAGTGATTGCAAAGACCATAGCCTGTATCAGATGCTCCTTAGTCTGCAGAGTGACACCATTGCTCTTCAGTACTTTGGAGAGGTCCCTAACAGCAGACTTTCCCATTGCAATATGTCTTTTACTTTCCTGGCTGCTGGTGCCAAGAATGTTGACTGTGGTAGAATTTTTTTTTTTTTTTAAAAGAGGCCATTTTATGCCATTGAGTCAGTTCCATCTCATAGGAACCTTGTGTGACAGAGTAGAGGTCTCCACAGACTTTCTCAGACTATGGGCTTTTTGAGGAGGAACCCTGGTGGCATAATGATTAAAGTGCCTGGCTACTAGCCAAAAGGTCCAAACTCACCACAGAATAAAGATGACACCATCTGATTCCGTGAAAATGTGCAGCCTCAGAAACAGTCCCAGGAAATTCTACTCTACGCTGTAGGATTGACACACATTGAGACTGACAAAGGGACAAAGCCTTGGTTTGGTTTAACCTTACAGGAGTAGATCACAGCATCTTTTTTCTCATGCAGTTGTTGGCAGATTTGAACTTCCAGTCTTTTGATTAACAATCAAACACTTAACTGATGCACCATCAGGGTTCCTTTCTAAGAAGTTAGGAACTAGAACCATTAAACCAATTGCCATTGATCCGATTAAATCAATTACCATTGATCTAAAGCTCCCTTGACTACAGTCTTTACAAAGGTAGATTACTTGACTTTTTATTCCACAGTGTTGCCTTGTGTTGTTGTTATGTGTCATTGGGTCAACTACGACTCACAGCAAACTTAGGAACAATGTTCTGAACCATGCTCTATCCTGAGTCAACCTCACCACCCCTGACACACCTGACCCCATTGCCACAATCATTGTGTCAAACCATTTCATCCAAGTCTCCCTGTCCTGTCTGATCTTCCACTCTTCCAAGCATGATGTCCTTCTTTAAGGACTAGCCTCTCTTGCAACATGCCCAAAGTATGTAAGAAAGACTTTCAAAATCCTTGCCTCTAAGGATTCATCTTCTCCAGGACATAACTGTTCTTTTGGCAGTCCAAGGTATATCCAGTACTCTTCTCCAGCACCGTGATTCAAACACATTGATTCTTCTCTCATCCCTGTTCAATGCTCAGCTCTCAGTTGCACAGTAAACAATTGAGAAGACCATGTCCTGGATCAGGTACACCTTAGTCACTAGACTGTCATCATTTCTCTTTAGCTCTCTGGAGATGTACAGTGTTGTAGGTGGGTTCAATTCATCAATATTTTGGTAGGTACAAGAAGGCAAACTATTTGCATCATCCAGGGAAATCTAAACGGTTAAGAGATCCAGTTATGATGTTCCTATAGGAGAAGTAGTAGAGAAAGTCACTAGGAAGCAGTGAAAACAATCTGTTAGATCCCAAAGCCCATCATTTTTTTCCTCTCTATTTTCTCTATTTTAATTGTTTCAGGTGACCTGAATGTGACCAGAGAGAATGGGTTTCCTGGTAGACACAAGGAGGCTGTGGTGGTCACTACCAAAGTCTTCAGTTCTTATATTCTCAAGCTTTTCAGTGCTCCAGGTAAGGCTACCTTTTTTTATTATATTCTTTAAAAAAAAAATTTATTAATAATTTTTATGAACATTTACAAAGATTTTGGATTGCCAGTCATTCATTGATGCACTCCCAGACCAGCCGAGACCAGCCCTCCTCCCCACCAGTTCGCACCTCTCTTTTAAAAGAAACACTCCCTCCCTGGTACACATTCCTCCCCCACCCCCCACCCCCGCACCCCTCCCACTGCCCCAAGTACATTCCACTATGCAACCTTGTGTTTGATGGTTTTGTGCTTGGGTGTTTGGTTTTTTTTTTCTTTTCTACTAGTTTATTTACAAAATTCGAATACATTGTTTTCAAAAACAAATTCTTTACATTTCATTCATCCCTTCACCCAACAAATTGTATAATCCCATGATTAATACCTCCCCACCACCACCACCACCACCACCACGCACATCCTCATCCCTCTGTTTCCACCCTTTCCCTCCCCTTCTTGAATCCTTATAGTCATTCTACAATAATGGTTTTACACAATATTTATCGTTATGGGACTGCGTTAGTTCACTCAGCATAATGCTCTCCAGTCCCTCCCAAGTTAGGTAACAATTTACAAAGTAATTGCTCCTGCATGCTGCATAGTATTACATTGTGTCAGTGTACATAATTTCTCAATCCCTTTGTCTGTGGTTGGATATTTGGGCTGTTTCTATGTTCTTGCTATGGACAAATCTCAGTTTGTGCCTCATCCCTAACATGTGTTTGTTTTGTTTTTTGTGTTGTGTTTTTTTTTAACTTTCTGTGGTTTCCTTCGAAACTGCTGACTAATTTCTTGAATTACAATATAAACATTTATCCTAAATGAAACAAAGAAGATGTAATATTCTTGGACTGTTGTAGATGTAATAAATGTAGGTTTAGCCTTGTTACTGCCTGTTCATGGTTAAACTCACCAGAATAAAAGACAATATAACAGCCTTAGCATTTAAGCAGCTAAGTGGTCTTTGTTGTCGGGTTTTTTCATCTTTATTTAAAATAAATCCAACTAATCCCAAAAACCCACTAAAACATATTGCCTCTGAGACGATTCTGACTCCTATCAAGCCTCCATCGGGTTCTTGGGCTGTGTGTAAATCATAGTGGTGATGGGAGAAGACTGCCCATGCTTCCGTGGAGATATTCTGACTCATATGAACCCTCCATTGGATTTCCTGTGCTGTAAATCATAATGGTGGTGGCAAAAGACTGCCCATGCTTCTCCCAAGGATTTGAACAGTC